CTAATCTTCTGAAGTCCATTTTGTAAATAAAGTTTTGATAGTCGTTGCTCTTACTCAGTTTCCAGTCAACTTTGTTGAGCTTTACCTCGACGAAGACCTTTCAAATTTACTATCCAACGAATCTGATATTTCTGTGACAACAAGTTTTGGACCAACACAGTACAAAAACATACCAGGAGACTCCCTTGGAAGACATACTTGCTACTTTTAAAAACAATTACAAATATTTATAAAATAAGGAAAATTTAAAGTATTTCCTTAATACTTTAATAAACAAAAACTGAAAACCAACTTCGAACCAACGGCGAACGACAAACTCAGGGGTAGAAACCAAGGAAGCGCCATGTAGCGCATCAGTTTCACCGGGCCTATCTGCATTAGGTTGGAGAGCAGATTGTTTTCTAATGAGACTGCAGTAGCCAGTCCTGAAAATTCACTTGGTAACATGACAACGTGCGAGACACTGACGAAAGTCACTTACGGTCTTGAATGGTTTGAGGCATGCCCTTTGCTGGTGCACTGATCGCCGTTCGTCGACAACCTTCACAGACTACTTCGCAAACCTCATTAAAGTTTAATGACGAAATGCTCCTAGGCAAAGTTCGACGAGTGGCAACTTTTTTTGAACCGCTCTTGTCGCGGACCACAGCAAACGAATGGTCACCATTCAGGGCAACGTTTGAACGAATCGCTATGCACCGGGTACAAGAAATCAAATCTACAAGGAAGAAAGTGAGTTTGCATAACGCTTCAAAACAATTACAACAACAAAGGTACTCCTCTAAGGTAAATAAATTTTTCTCACGTAAAAGTTTAAGAAACGTAAAGAGAATGCTCAACGAAGAAGTAAGGTCCATTAAAGGAGACATAAATTAAGTATGAAAAAACCATTTACTGTTCTTTGTAAGAAATCGCAACGCATCCTGAAAGCCTTGCCTGCACATCTTGCTTAAGACTTCAGGATGAGGTGGCAGAAGTGCCACGCTGAGGCGGTGAAAATTCTCGCATGTAAAACGAATGTTCGTATTTTTAATATCAAAACTCATTAAAAACGACGAATCCGAATCGAGGGGGCAGATGTCCGCTTCGCCCGAAAACGGACTAACAGTGACCGTATTTTCATCCAGCACCGGTAAATTATTCGACCAGCCACCATCGATGAAATGCTGAAAAATACATAAAATTTCAAACAAAAGCAACAAATTTCTTCATTCATTTAAAGAGCTAACTATTCCTTTTAAAATTGGCAGACTTACCAGATGGCATGAACTCCTATTAAAAATAAACCTTCCGAAAGAATTCCATGGCAAAACAATGCCAGATATTCAATGTTGCATAGCCTTTTGATCACAGATAACCACATCCGCAGAATCTAGTACATGATATCCAGAAAGGTATGGATGTCTCTAGATGGTAAAAAACGTAGCTGATATTTTCGATGTAGAAAGATGGAACCTGACAGAGAAATATATCATTTGACGCTAGAAAGTGATAATCAAACCAAGACCACATAATATATCGTTTAATTTAACAACAACAATTCCCTGGTCCTTCTTCATAAGAGTCAGGGACACCCCGCCTAATCTCGATGACCACGCATGTCTTCTCGTGCTATTC